GGTGATGAGGACGAGCAAGGAGATGAGCCGGAGAGTCCTGTGAGTGCTTGAATGAACATCACAATCAGTATTTGTTTTCTAATGAATTACTTCCCACAGTCGACGTATTTCCACAACCGGGATCGTTCCCGGACGTTGAGCTCCTCGGTACACGGGGGGCAAGCGAGTACGGAGGTCGGGCAGAGCAGTATGGCGCCAACTCTGCCTCAAGGTGGATTGGCTCCTTAGATATGTGTCTTTTATAATGTGTGCGACGATGTATACACTGTGATGTCTGGAGTTGGATACAAAGAGCCGGGATTTATGCCGTCGTGCATGGCTGGAATGCATATACACCGACCCATAGTCTGGAAGTCATGCAAGAGGCGGCTTTAGGACTTGCTGATTAAATCCCGAACCACGCGACTAGGTCTGGAACCAAATCCTCGATGATCGGCTCTCCACCTCCCAAGTAGTCGCTTCTTCGAAGTCTTTCATCATTCTCCACCCAGTCTCCTCGCAGCATCTTTTGGCGCAATGGCAACAGTAGCTACCCTTCCGGGGTCATCAAAGCCTCACCCTCCTATCACTATCCTCAAAAGACATAGATCCGATGTCCCACTCTCCGAAAACAAGTTCCTGAAGAAGACCGCAAGGGGAAAGGTCATGAATGGTGAGTCATCACAAGTCTTTGGCTGCTATAGCTTGGCTGACCTCCAATTTGCAGTATTGCGAGAGCGATATGTTCGTGATGATATCCCCTGTGGATTTGAGAAATGTCATCTGTGCCAAGACTTCCCTGGCTTCAAGCCCGTCCTTCCCGAGGCTGGCTACACTCAACACTCCAAGTTCAACGGCGCCGGGCACTGGCTTGTCATTGACACCAATGTTGTTCTTCATCAAGTAGGCTGTTCACGGTCTTTTCATATATGTGGCTTGACTGACAGTGATTCAGATGGACCTCCTTGCTGCTTTGCCTCCCACCCTGCCCCTCGTCATTCCGTCGACCACTATTCGCGAGACCCGCCATCGATCGCTGCCGCTCTACAACCGACTCCAGCAGCTCATACAGGACGAGGACCGATGCGTTTGGGTGTGGTGGAACGAGGAGAGGCGAGAGACTGCTACTGTGCGCGAGGAGGACTCGGAAAAGGGGAAGGAAGTGATCAACGATCGCAACGACCGAGGTAAGCTCTTGCTTTGCGCGATCGAGGATGCCAGCTGATAACGTTCTGTAGCCATCCGACAGACCCTCCACTTCTACGCAGACCACTTGCGAGAGTCCACTCCCAACCCTCCTCTTCTTGTTCTCCTCACGGACGACGCTGGCAACCGCGCACTCGCTACCAAAGATGGATTGAGCGCTCTCAGTGCTCGTGATTACGTTGACGGGCTCGAGGGCGACGAGAGGAACCGGCTGGTGGACCTGGTCGTGGGCGGTGTCGACGAGATTGTCACGTCTGAGAGGCGTAGCAAGAGAATCTACCCCGATGTGAGTTGGTAGTGGGCTTGTGGGTGTGTCAGTGCTAATAGATGACTTCAGTACCTACCTCAAGACACTCTTCTGGCTGGCGTCAAGACTGGGAGGTACCACCAGGGGCATTTCAACGCCAATGAATACAACTATCTTGAGGTATGCCAGATACTTTCCCTGATATCTCTGCGGCTGCTGACCGAAATTGCTCCAGGGTACGGTGACTGTCCCCGGTCTGAAGAAGCCTGTCCTCCTTGTCGGTCGTGAGGCCATGAACCGCTCGGTCAACGGAGATGTTGTGGTAGTGGAAATCCTGCCGGAGTCTGAGTGGAAAGCACCAGGAGAGGAGGTCGTTGACCAAGACCGTCAGTCATCTCAGCTGGTACACCTGGCTTAGCCGCTGACATGAGAATACAGTCGCGCTTCGCGATGACGATGCGGACGACGACGAGGGTACGGGTGTTCCAGACAAGGAACTGCTCAAGGAGAAGACCGAGAAAATGGAGGTCGACCAGGAGATTCGCAAGCGACCCAAGGAGATCCTTCCCACCGGTCGGGTAGTGGGTATCGTGAAGAGGAACTGGCGAGCGTGAGTTAAATGCCAATTCTCAAGTTGTACGCCCTACTAATCTCTCCGCGTAGATACGTTTGTCACCTTGACCGGTCGTCCTTGTCCGACGCCGCCCTCACTTCACTCGCCCAGCAAACCGTGTTTGCAACTCCTGTTGCTACTACTCTGCCCCGTATCCGTATGCGCACCCGCCAAGCCCCTCAGCTCCTCGACCAGAAAATCCTTGTCACCATAGACGCCTGGTCTGTCAACTCGAGATACCCGGACGGCCATTTCGTGCGAGCGTTGGGCAAGGTTGAGAGCAAAGAGGCCGAGCAGGAGAGTCTGTTGTTGGAGTACGAGGTCCCCTACAGGCCGTTCGGCAAGGCTATCCTCGGATGTCTCCCTGTCGAGGGTGACAAGTGGGTTGTCCCCGAGAAGAAGGCCGAAAACTTGGAATGGCGAGATCGAGAGGACCTGCGAGATCTCGATATCTGCAGCATCGACCCTCCCGGTAGGTTTGGGCGAGCGTATGTGTATCGCGCTTACTTTACTGACGCATAAATATCACAGGCTGCCAGGATATCGACGATGCTCTGCACGCCCGGAAACTCCCGAACGGCAACATCGAGGCCGGTGTCCGTGAGTGCTTTATCAACAGTCAGTAGCTGTGAAGCATCATACTGACCACCAGCTAGATATCGCGGATGTCTCCCACTTTGTTCTTCCTGACAACCCCATGGACTCTGAGGCTGCTTCGCGGGGCACAACGGTGTACCTGGTGGACAAGCGTATCGACATGTTGCCTTCCCTGCTGGGCACAAACTTGTGTTCCTTGAGGCCATTTGTGGAGCGATTGGCGTTTTCTGTTATCTGGGTATGTAAAGTCCCCTCACACAGTTAACTGCCGTACGCTGACAGTAACCAACAGGAATTGAACGAAGATGCAGAGATCGTCAAGGTTCGATTCGCCAAGTCTGTCATTGCCTCCAAGGAGGCCTTCACATACGAGGCGGCACAGTTGCGAAAGGACGACACGTAAGTCTTATGGACACATGTTGTTTGCCCAACTTACACGTACCCTCAGATCCCGTAACGACAATCTTACCCAGTCTATACGCCTTCTCAACTCCCTCGCCATCAAGCTCAAGGCTGCTCGTATGCGTGCCGGTGCTCTCTCGCTCTCATCCCCCGAGATCAAGATTCACCTGGACTCGTCAGAATCTGCGGAGCCGGTCGATGTGGAGCAGAAACAGCTCAGGGAGACCAACAGCCTGGTTGAGGAGTTCATGTTGCTGGCAAACATCAGCGTAGCCGCGAAGATCCAAGAGACCTTCCCAGCTACCGCTGTTCTCAGGTTTGTCTTATACTTTGTGCTCATGCTGAGCAGCTGGCTGACCATCATCTTTCAGGCGACACTCCCCTCCCCCCAAAACGAACTTCGAGGTGCTGCAGGATATCCTCATGAAGCGCAAGGGAATGACGTTGGACGTTTCCAGCTCAAAGGCTTTGGCAGATTCGCTTGATGGCTGTGTGGTAAGAAACATTGTGACAAGTTCTGGATCGAAAGTTCATTCACTGACACATCTGTGTAGATTGCTCAGGAGCCCGAGTTCAACACACTCGTGCGAATCATGGCGACTCGCTGTATGTTGTCAGCGGAGTACTTCTGCTCTGGCAGTGTGTCCAAGGAGACTTACGGGCATTATGGACTTGCGAGTCCCATCTACACCCACTTCACTGTGAGCATGACATGTTTTGTTTCGACTGAATGCAGTACTGACAGATATCATGCAGTCGCCTATCCGAAGATATGCGGACGTCCTTGCCCACCGTCAGCTTTCCGCAGCCATCAACTACACACCTCTTCACCCTTCCCTCCAGTCCAAAGCCCACGTGGAACGAACCCTCAAGGTTGTCAACCGTCGGCACAGGCTGGCGCAAATGGCGGGCCGAGCGTCGGTGGAGTTCTATGTTGGTCTGGCGTTGAAGGGCCGGGGAGCGAGCTCAAAGCTGGGCGGCGGGCGATCTCGGGAAGAGGCGTTTGTCATCAGGACGTTCAAGAACGGTCTGGCGGTGTTTGTATCGAAGTAGGTCCATTCTCGTCATTACGCCATGCGCATGTACTAACGACGAAGTGTAGGCTTGGTCTGGAGGGTCTCATCACTTTTACCAAAGATACCCACAACTACGATGCCGAGAATTACACCATTTCCATCCCCACACCGGACGGCAAGGAGGTCCAGGTGTCTGTGTTTGACAAGATCACAGTGGACGTCTCCATCGAGAAAGACAAGAACACGCAGCGAGGCAAAGTTAAGGTAAGCCCGTCAGCCCGTCAGCTTAACGAATTGCACAGAAAACGACACTGACAGGCTACGGCAGATGGTCATGGTTAGCCCAGTTGCTTCCGAGGTTTTGTGAGCGCAGATATTGTAGAGTATCCAACATCTGTGGGCGGGCATGCAGTAGTCATATCTAAGATCAACAAGGGAAATGAGGGATCGAATACACTGTTTACTCAGTGGTTACAACCCAAGATCTGCGGAGATCATCCCTTTTGTTGGCTGGTAGTGGGTAGGTGTACCGTCCATACCGTCCAAGCTTCTTCGGCTTCAGAATTGAAGTTCAGAGCATTTCGCCCCTGTCGTCTCCTGGCTTGGCCTGTTTGCAAACTCGCCGTTTGACCTGGGGTTTCGATAGCTCAGGTGGATTAGAGCTTCAGATTGCAAAACTGCTTGTTATCTGGAGGTCGCGGGTTCGAGTCCCGCTCGGAACTTTACTTTTTGCACCTTCAGGACGTTGGTGCACTTGCTGTTCATGCTTGAGACAAAAGATGAAAAGGCCGGGGTCGCTGTAGCCATCTTTATCGAACACATGATTTGTACGGTACACAGGTTGAAAACGACACCCATCCGGACGGACACAGGTCATCACAGGAAGATCAGAAGAGCTTGCGGGGATGGCCCTGCATCGACATTTGGAGACAAAAAGCAAAGTTCCGAGCGGGACTCGAACCCGCGACCTCCAGATAACAAGCAGTTTTGCAATCTGAAGCTCTAATCCACCTGAGCTATCGAAACCGACATTGGTGATTTTGCTTCCTTCAACGTGGCACAGAATCAGTGTTCCCCTTCAAAGGACGCTGAAGAGCGGTTGTGTGATTGTGTCCAACAAACACTGTCCCCTTGTCTGATTCGTTCTTTGACTTTCAGCGCCCTTTTGTTGCACGTTTCAGCGTGTGACAGGCGCGTTTAGCTCTCAATCACCCTGCTCTGATGGCTCATCATACATACTGTCCTCATGGACAGCGCTTCTTTTTGTTCCCCTTGTTTGATCAACAATACCACGCTGCGACGCGACACCACCGCCCATCACGCCTGATCGGCGCCATCACGGCCCACCTGTCGGCCCTCAAATTTCCTTCATGGCATGTTCTGCCTGACTGATATCTGCATGCATGGGTCATTTAGACTTGCATATATCACCGAAACCGCCATCCTGAATACGCACATTGCTTTGCCTGTCAAGATTGCAACAATGGTGAACCTCACGACGGTGGGACTGCTCGCTCTCAGCACATTGGGTGTCGTGGCTGCGGGCCCGGCACTTAGAGAACCTAGACCGAGCTACGAGCGGCCGGCAACAAAGCGGGCAAAGCTTGCGCCGGGGTTCAAGTGGGGCGATAATCCAATGAGGGGTGTCAATATTGGAGGATGGTGAGTCGTGCGGCAGCAGTGCCCCTCTACTAATGAGCTGACCCCGGTCCGCAGGCTCGTTCTCGAGGTAAGCGCACTAATTTGTTGGCTGTGCTGACGCGTCAAGCCGTGGATCACGCCGTCTCTGTTTTCGAACAAGCCGGACTGGGTGGTAGATGAGTGGACGTACGGAGAGTACATGGCGACGCAGGACAACCCTATGGGGGAGATTCGGAAACACTGGAACAACTGGTTTCAGTACGCGGAGCTCCAGGAGTGGGTGCAGCGATAAGGGAACATTGGCTGACCGGCAGTATTGCGGCGGTGGGCTTGAACACTATTCGGATACAAATCGGGTGTGAGTCAGGCGGCATGGTGGATGGTAAAGACATGACATAGCTGACACGGACGTGGGGCAGTCTGGTCGGTCATTCCTCTTCAAAATGGAGAGCCATTTCTGGTCGGCGCATATGACTACTTGAAGCTTGCAGTCACTTGGGCAGCAAGTTTGAACCTCAAGGTAAGCAGGTCTCTCAATCCGCAGAGAGGGCATGCATTGACATGTGTCGCGTGCAGGTCATGGTCGATCTCCATGGTGTGCCCAGGGGACAAAACGGCTTTGACAACTCGTGCGTCGACCTCCCCATGGGTTCTCACTAACGCTGTGACAGAGGTATACGAGACGTCCGCCAGTGGTTCTACAACGACACCAACATATCACGTACACTATCCGCTCTGCAGGTCTTGACCTCCGAATTCTCCCAGTCATTTTACAACAACACCGTCGTCGCCATTGAGCTTGTCAACGAGCCTTTCCCGCAGAACTCATACGAGCTCAACGTCTTGAAGTCATTCTATCAGGCGGCGTACGGGACGGTCCAAGGCGCCTCGTCTCAGAGTGGCTTAGTGGTGGCTATCGACGAAGGATTCCAGGGATTGCAAACATGGGAGTCGTTCATGACCGAGCCAGATTACCATGATGTCGCCATGGACACTGTGAGTACTGCGCGTGTCGGGCGGCACTGACGGTGTAGCACATATACACAATGTTTGATCTCAATCTCATCTCACTGGGCTACGTGAAGAATCTAGAGTGGTACTGTGAACAGACGGATTATCTCGCGACTTCCAACAACATACACTGGACCATTGTGGGGGAATTCACACGTGAGTAGAGACACTCTCCGGGCCATGGCTGACAAGCAGCTGCCAACACGGATTGTGCATATTGGCTCAATGGCCGTGGTCGGGGTGCACGATACGACAACACCTTGAACAGCTCGGCAGCGTGGGTCCCATACCTGACCTCCTTGGCTCCAGAGCACCACTAACTCTTACCCAGTTTACAATATCCGGGAGACTGCAGTGTCAAAACGGGCTCCGACCCATCAAAATTCAGTGCCAAATATGTGGACTATCTGGCAAAATCTTTCGAGACACAGACATGGGTGTATGAACAAGCAGTAAGTTGATATATGTGTTGGCAAGATGTCGCTGATGACAGTAGTCTGGCTGGGTTATGTGGACGTGGAAAACCGAGAGGGCGGCAGATTGGTCGATGCAGACAGGCATCACATATGGTGGGTGGGCTGTGCTGTGCCACTGGTATCAGCTGGGGTGCTAAAGGACCACTCAGGCTGGATTCCGAACCCCATCTCTTCCAAACCCCACGGCATCCCGTGCACAGGTCGTACTACGATAACAAGTGCCCCAGCAAACGGCGGGGGTTTAAAGAGTGAGGTGTGCTGGTGGGGACTGCTTCTGGGGTCATTAATCTCGTTTTTATTGTAAGCGTGCATGCAGATGGAGGGTTCACGGGTGCTCTGGCCCGTTCGTGATTGGTACAAGCTGCCCCTTCGCCGCTTCCTTCTCCGCCATCTCCAGCTCCTGCATGACTTGGACTTCTCTGACACGGCGGCGTATTGCCTCTCTACGCTGTCTTCCAAAGGTCGCAGCCTCATACCTCGCAGTAGCAAGGGAGTGCGACGCACTAGCACAGTCAGCATAGAACCAGGACTGGGTGACTTACTCAAAGTGCTGCTTGTCAAGCATCTCCCGATGCGAATCTGCCGCATATCCTAGCCGGTTGAATTGGAACCATGCGACAGCTGCTGTCTATACGGGCATCAGCTACGACCCTCATGTCAATTTCCCTAATACAAAATAGAGAGTAACTCACTACGATGCACAGTACGATGAGAAAATTGTTGTTGGACATGTATCGCTCCTCCTTCACATTATTGTCTGTGTTGGGCGTTCGGAACCCGGCATTGATGTCCTCGTAAGGCCGCCACCCCTTAGAGCCGTCGAACCCTCCCCAAGCACCTCGTCCAGCATCGCTGTTCCGATATCCTCGAGAGTTGTTGTCCCATGCCGCCGCCCCCCCTCGTTTCCGTCTCAGGATCTCAGCATACATAGCTGCGTCTGAGCTGTCCTTGACCATGGAATGATTGGACACGTCCCACCCGTACCCCGTCCGTAGGAACGAGGATCTGGACGTGGAGGAGGACAGCAATTTGTAGGCCTTGTTCAGAGTCGCAAAGTGGTCAGGGGAGGATGAAGGGTGTGATGAATCAGGATGCAGGATGAGTGCGAGCTGGTAGTCTGATTGATAGTCAGCGTTGGATCCCGGTGGGACTGTAAACTCACATCTCTTCTTCACATCCTGTGGAGTAGCATCCCGATCGAGAGCCATAACCTCGAATGGGTCAGGCGCGCCACCGCTCTTGCCTTTGGCCGGAAACCGGTAAGACTCTGCGAGAGGATCTTGGCGCTGCTTGCCCTTTCTAGGATCTGAGGTTTCCTGCTTGCTGGCATGCTGCGAATACGACGATGACGCTCTGTTGAACGCCTCGCCGGTGTTGGGGATAGCATGCGAATGCGCGGCGCGATAGGCGACGGGCGAGAAGCGGGGGATAGCCATAAAAGCGATCAAGGTGGCAGAGGGCGCTAACCGAATACCAAGCATCTTGTCGGAGTGCGGCTGTATCTCTGGGAAGAGCCGGTTACCTGTGGCCAGTTCAGCGCGCGAGAAAAAGCATAGAAGAGGACGACGAGATCTCGATAGAGCAAAAGAATCGCGCCGGAAATCGGGATCGACCGGCGCGGACAACGGCGGCGAGATGATATGACGAAAGGCACGACGACGGTCTTCTGGTGCTGAGACATCGTCGTTGATTGAGTCCACTTCTTCGTCTCACTCATCATCGTTGCTCTTATACGACGAACTATTTCACAGATTTCACCGCCATACATATCTTGTCTCCCCCTCCCGCCTAGCGACCCCCCGCTGTTTATCGTTTAGCAACCTCTCGAACTCAGGACTCGTCTCACCCGGTCGTGTCTGCCTCTCAAGACGCGCGTCTCTCTTCTTTCACCTCACATTCGACCACCTTCTCGCAATGGCCTCATGGGGCCCCAAGTTCCCCTCCTCACCCACCAATGCAACAAGGGAACCAATCAAGTCCCCACGGCGCACCGGGGCGGGTATCGAGTTCATCCCAGACTCCACTACCCAGCCTTCTTCCAAAGCCCGAGTTGGCGTCGTATCACGCATACGACGCGTTCTCTCACTCCCACGCTCTAGAAAGATGCCGCAACACCCCTACGCCCAGGTTGAGGGTGCTTTGTCTGTCGGTGTGCTCCCGCGCTACCAGCAGGGCGGCAAAGGAGAACTAGGCGCAGGAAGAGAAGCGACGCCGCGCGTACAGGCAGGCCCATCATTCTCTCAACGTGAGGAGTGGTTGGCGGTACAGCAGGAGTTCAGTTATGAGGTGGTGGAGGATGAGGAGATATCTATAAATACGAGGATTAATACTGCGGATTTACATGGTGGGTCGGCACTCCTTCCTACTGTTCATCTAGCAATAGCCGTTTCACTGACAGCTCACAGCTTCACCGCCACCAGCCTTCCCCAACCCAAATTTCAAGACCTCCCACTCAATGTCTGCTCTGGATCGAGCTCGAGAGGTGTACGTCCGACCGTCAACTATTACTGGTCCAGCTCGCAAGCCCACGGGAGGTACCGTATCTCTCATTCAGCAAGCAAACTTCCGAAAGGTGTCAGGCTTACACCCGGCAGCCGCTAAACCTGCTGTGACCACCTCTACCGTCAACCTCAACAGAAGCACTGCCCAGACAGCACAGTCTTTTACACACAAGTCAACCCTTCCTCCACCAGGCTCACTGTTCGGCTCAAGCTCCACCTTCTCCACCAGCACGCCCCAGGCATCGCGTACCCGACAGCCGTTAGCAGCTATGCCAACTGAACCACAAAGGTTGGCGCAGGTTCAGCGGAAGCCAGTGCCGAAGCTGGAGGATATACTGGCCGCCAAAAACGTGATGGCAGGTCCAATCATGTCCAGAGGCAGACCTAAAACCCTGGT